TATGGTTAAAATGTTTAGAGGTCAAGACGAAATGAAACAAACAAAAGAAAATTATAAATAATTTGAGTTGGATTTATAACTTCCTGAGAGCTACCCGTCATCACTTGATTATCGCGACATACACTGGTGGGCGCTTTGCAAAGAGATCGCCACAGTTAACTGGTTAAATATAGCATGCCCGGTTGAACCGGTTCAATTTCAAGGATATTTTTTCAGTAATTTTCTGACAAGATTACAGCAAGGATGGATGTCTAATATAATCTAACAATAAATAATTCCTCTGTGGCCGCATTAGTGTGCTCGTTAATTATTAATTCTAATTAAATTCTGCCGCTACTTAGGAGCGTATGTATATAGTCTCTAAAAGCGAACGATTATCTGAGAAAAGCGTACATATACTCTATTTATAGCACACGATCGTTTAACTTCCTCGAAGAGCGTATAAACAAACTAATATTTCGCATTCTATTTACTTTGTTCACATTTTTATTCAGCAAATAATGTTAACAAGTTACAGTAAATGACTCTAACACGATCGTAGAATATAACTTTCTTAGTTCTATATAAATAACTTTTATGCGTGTCGTTGCGAAAGAGTTAAAATAACGTGGAAAATGTAGGAAGTGTTGGAGATATGTAAAATTATATGTAATATTCTAGTCGATTTTATTTTTCCGAGATTAATGCAGCGTACAGTACATAAATCACGATCATTGTTGTAAAAAAATAGAAAAAAAGACACGAATGTACATCAGGATTGTGTCAGGAAATTTTATGCAACATATGCAGCATTAATATATGCGTTGACGCAGTAGCGTTAAGTTTATTTGCGTCAGTCGTTGCATAAGCATCGGTGTAAAAAGAAAAATATTTATCATATTACGGTATCAACTGACGGTTTTTCGTGCCATCATTATGAGTTATGCGAGTTTGTTATACCGATATCTTAAAAAGTCACATCGGTGCTTATATTCTTTATCACATACATTTTCCTTTCAATATTTTTCTCAAGGGGATGTTAAGAACTTGATAAGCGTCCCTTTAAAGGGATGCTATACTTGGCGGAAACTTTGCCAACAGAATACTGACTTCTTTCCACAAAGTTCACGTCCTATTGGCCACGTAGAATTATAAATGTTTTCGCACAGTGAAAAAACGCGCGAAAATGAATCGGAGCATTGCTCGATACGTCGAAAACGATGAAAAATGTCAAAATTGACATCTCTAGCTGTCGGTTGGCGTAAATATTTGTCTGATACGGAACAACTCGGTACGTATCGAATGTGTCAATGTTTGCAGGAAGGTTTTTACGTATCTTGATTTTCGTTAGATATGATAAGGTAACGCGTTTACGTTTATGTCGCACTTACATTCAACGTAAGATCCATGTGTACGAGAAGTACAAAAAGAACAGCGTGATCATGTCACGCGTTTACTTGACGTGAAATTTTGAAGTTCGCCTCCGCGTTATCGACGCTTATCAAGTCCGTCGTCGGCTCTTTGACGTCCCCTCAACTAAACTGATGGCACAAACTTCTCTTATTTCTGTTACTTATTGCGAAACGCAAGTTGATTACGCGTGAAACAAACGAGAACTTGATATTCAAAGTGCGTTGAAGTCGGGAATGGTCGCGGATTTCCCCGTTATTCTAGCCAAATTGGGCCATCGGGGGTCAAGTGACAGAAATAATCGCGTGTAGTCTTGACACTGACGCGTTTTACGTCCGCGTAAAATGAGGTACGGTCCAAGTCTCGAAGTTTATTTGCGACGTAAAGCTCGCCAAGAAGTGGAAATCCCGAGATTCAAAATCGCGATCATCTTCGAAGATCAGCCTCGTTAGATCCCCCGGTAGGGGAAGCCGGCGAGGAGAAGTCGCAGTATCGCGATTTTCGCGATTTCGAGACACGAGCAAGCCGAAGCTCTCGCTCGCCCGCAAGCCGCCGCGTCGCCTTTTCCTCCGAGCGATAAATGTTAATGAGACGCCACGAGCGCACACCATCGCTCGGACACGCGGAGTTGTCCGGAATATGAGCTCGATCGATGAGCCCGCTTCGAGTATCCTTGAGAGCAAGAACGGTAATCGCTTTACATGCAAGTTCGCGGAAGTCGCAGATTCCGTCGCGGCTTTCGTATCGCCACGCGCCAACACAGCCGTCGGCGAGAGAAAGAAGGAGGCACGATCGATCGCAAATTTCCGCGCGATTTTCGCCCGCCCTACCCGCGAATACTTCGGCCGTTTTTCGTCCTGAGGCAATTTCCACGAGTCGCAAATCGACGCACGGAAGGAAGGAATTAGCTGTCCGTATGACACACAACTGAAATTTAGTTATCGGAGGACCTCCTTTTAGTTATGTCAGGTGAAAACAGGAACAGAAAGAATTAGCTAAATTAACTTCGCTTGTATCGTATGGATAATTAATTTTCACCTGGGAGTTAGTTTTTAGCTGCGGGAGCTATTTAACTTTTCTCCCGCGCGGTAATCGTCGTGGACAACTTCGCGCGATCGCTCTCGCCGTCTCTCTCTCTCTCTCTCTCTCTCATAATTGCCACCCGATCTCGCCTCGTTTCCTATCCAGCGTGAGTTAGGTCAGTGCGTCGTGGCTCGATAATCGACGATAAGAGCCTTCGTCGGGAGGCTCGAACTCCGCTCGTAATTATATCACTCAATAAGGCGGCACGCGCTTATCGCTTGTCGCGTTTTGTCGTCTCTCCGCATTGAGAATGGACTCGAGAAATAAGTCCAACGTAAATTTGGCCTTGATGGTAGCAGCCGTTTGATCGCGTGTTCGATGTCCGATCGATTGCCGGAGAATACGAGATGCTTTCGCATTATCGATAAGCGATAACGCGACGGTTTTCGCTCGCGGTTTCGATCGCGAAATCGCGCCGATTTCGCGATTCCGCGCGCCCGATACGGCGGGTGCTCGAAAACGGTCCGGCTGAAGCGCGAACATCGGTATCTCGGCGGGGGGAGGGGCCTCTCCATTCAGTGACACATGTGTTGACACAACATCCTAAGTGGAACAATTGAATGACGACAATGTCGAAGTGAACATCGGAATGATACATTTTACGTCACAATCAGCGCGTCGTCAGCGTGAAGGATCGGTTTTCGACATGACTTAATTGCGACGTGCGGCTTTGCGAGACTCACGATGCACCTAACAACATATAGTCACAGATTGCATAGTCGGTGATCATTTTCCGCGATCTTCCTGGAGCATTCGGGATATTCCGAGTCAAGATGACTTTTCGCTTTACTTGGGAATATCGAGATCTAATTTTGTCATATTCTCATCATCGTAATAATCTGTGAAATATTACCGAGATTAAAAGTAGAGATGAAAAATCCGATTGGTATAAGCCGTCATTTCGAGCGTTTTTAATCCGTGTAAGGTAAATAAATAAATCATTCTTTTTCACGCGCAACGGCCTGAAAACGGATTCCGATGACGTGACGAACGGCAACACCGGTGATTCGCCGGAGGGGCGAGTATCGCGACGTACACGTACGATACGCGTTCGATCGTTTGTCGGTAAAGGGCGTCATGAGCCCGGCGGAAAGTAGGCCCTGTGACGTCTATAACACTTCCCCGCAAAGCATTGCCGACCAACACCACCACCACGGCTCCGACGAGACGTGTGTGTGTGTGTGTTCGCCGTGGCGCGTGAAATATTAACGGGCGCTTTTCCCGTCGTCGGTTGATGACCGTCACCACGGCTATATCGATTTGAAAAAAATATGCGGCACAAGTTACGGGTGTTACGGCTCTCGAGTCAAGGATACAAGCGCGTCGCGCGCGCGCGTGCACCCACACACCCCTTCGCCTATGCACGCCGTCGCGCAACGGCACGGCGGCACCGTTTCGCCTACTTCGGGGGCATCGCGATTTAACGATTGCCGCTCTAACTTCTGGAACGGCGAGCGAACGGTCCGTCGGGCTGCCGTAATTCCTGTGAATTTCCGCGAATGTTTAAGTAAATAAATTTGAATTCGTAACCTACGATTAATCAGCTCTCCACCTTTTCGTTTCTTTTTTTTTTGTGAATAGCGATTTATCACGATGGCGTATTATTTTATTCTTTGTTTCTTTCATTATTCTTTTCTCGATTGTATCCACGAAAAATAGCCGACAAAGTCCCGGAGATGCCGATTTTTCGAGCTTACCGTTCTTGAGCGCTGTAGAGAGATATCGCTCGATCGTACAAGGGCTTATCCGTCTCTTTTTGATTTGCTTATTTTCCGGAAAATGTAATACTCCGCCGTATGTCAATCGTACATCACATTTGTCTTAGTAATTACATAATAAGCTGAAAATATGACGGCGACATTGTTTGCTTGACACCGTTACACGCGGTACTTCATTCCTCGATCTATATCAGCTTTCTATACCGCATGCCTGAAACGTTATCTCGACAATCTAAACCTTGCACAATGTAATTATAAGAACAGAGTGACTTTGCAATTTTCGAAGAAACATTAGCTACGTTCGGCAGAAAATATAGCTGGGTGGGCACTTAGTGATTATTGCTCCTGATTACTGCATTCTTCTGGGTCTATCGAAGATCTAAATATATTCAACTTACAAACAATAATCACCGAGCGCTTACCGAGCTACATCCCCTGCTGAACGCATCCATTGAACTTCAATCATTTGAATCTTCACCATGTCGGTTCCTTGCTCGAAATTTGAAATTCGAGAAAGACATCTTTGGATCCTCCACCTCTACTATTAAAGTAAAAATAAGAAATAAATAATAAGAATGATAAAATGAGACGCAACAGAGTCTCACGTTGAGTATTAGTACGCGACATTTTACTTCTCGCCACATCCACCCCGGCGTTCAGATCTCTCATTGGCCTTATCTCTTCTTTCACTTTAGATTAAAAATCCACAAGTCAAATTTTCCACAATATAAATTTAATTTTCGATTAACTTTGATCCTGCTTCGTCCTCAATTTTTGCGAATGTCCTCCAATGCGAACGCATCTCCGCAGACATCATCATCTGAGGTACAAAGCGGCGAAATGGGAACGACGAACGCACAAGCAGATCCGAACCACACGAGGAACGAGGTGCAACCGGGAGGCGGCTCCATCGACGCGTTCTTCGCCGAGAAGGTGATCCTTGTGACCGGCGCCACAGGCTTCCTAGGAAAAGCCTTGCTCGAAAAATTGCTGCGCTCGTGTCCTCGTTTGGCCACGATCTACCTTTTAATCCGCTCGAAAAAGGGTCAATTCGCCGAGGAACGTTGCAAGGAACTGCTGAAAAATCCCGTACGTATTCGCCATATTTCTTCGGGTGAAATTCTTCACTCGAAGTCAAGTGACTCCCTTCACTCGTGCAGAGTGAATATTTTCGTGCGAAATTAAGGAGTGAATCTATTGTGAGTACACTCAAGATGGCTTTCTCCAAATTCTGATTAATCTAATTGACGNTCTCTCTCTCTCTCTCTCTCTCTCTCTCTCTCTCTCTCTCTCTCTCTCTCTCTCTGGCAAAATTACCAAAAGTAATTATTAACTCCTTCTCTCTTAATTTTTTCATTAACCATAATTTTAGTTGATAATTCTGTCAGTTAATCATCTACTAGACTAATGAGAATTTGGAGAAAGTCACCTGTGTGGGTGACCGATTACGCCAATCGATGAATAATAATAAAAATCGCTAACATTAATTTTCAGTTTTGAAACTTGTTGTTCAACAATATGTAATCGAAAAGTTCATAATTTCTATCCGCGTTAGTAAGATAAAACTGATATCTGACTGGCAGCGCGCATACACACACACACACACACACATATATATTTTAAACCGTCAATTAGCTTAATTGGACTCTAGTGAAAGTCACCCTCAGTTCCAGAAGTGCCTTACCATTTATTAATCAATTGTCGATCAGCCGTATTCGTTTCTAGCTGTACGTTTCTCATGACTGTTGATTAATTCAGAAAGTGGTATTGAAAGCAGAAGCGACAGCTTTGACAGCTGTACGTATCGTATGCGTCAGCAAAGAGGGTTACCCGCTCACGTGTAACGCGCAATCGGCGGAAGAAGAATAAGGATGTTAAGAGAGATAAAAGGTTAATATGTAAAATTAATATAAATAATTAATTAGAAAGAATAAATATGCACACACGCGCGGATACTTGCGGATAACCCTTTTTATTGTCGCCTCGAGTGAATCATTATTCGTTTCGAATAGGATTTCACCCCGAAACTCTACACTTTCAAGAACAGAGACGTACACACACTTGCTCTCGTTATTCTATCGAACTTACATTATCCGTTTATTACCTTGAATACTTAACGTCGTATGTCACATTTTGCCCCGGTAACTTTGACGCGCACTTGTGTCAAATTGATATTTCTTATAGACGCGATACTTCAGCGCCGGTGACGAAGTGGTAGAACGTCATAAATAACTTAAACGGAACGACAACATCGCGAAGAAACGGGTAACTTCAAACAGAACTCTCTCGCTCTCATTCTCTCTTTCTCTCTCTCTCCCCCTCTCGCAGGTCTTCGACAGGATTCGATTGAATTTTCCTGGTGTCCTAGACAAGATCGTCCCCGTGAGCGGCGACGTGGGTATGCCGGAACTGGGCCTCCATGCCGAGGATAAGGACATGCTGATACAAAGGGTCAACATCGTGTTTCACGTCGCGGCTACCGTGCGCTTCGACGAACCGCTCAAGGTGGCTGTTAATATGAACACGAAAGGTACGGAACGCATACTGGATCTCTGCAGGAGCATAAAATGTCTCATCAGCATCATTCACGTCAGCACGGCTTACAGTAACGCGGACCGACGGGAGATAAACGAAACGATATACAGGTGAGCATCCTCGGTTTTCTCGTGATATTTTATCCCTTCCACGGAGATCTTCGCGCGTCTCGAAGTCAAAGTGACTCTTCCCCACTCGCGTAGAGTGAATTTGTCTCCTTCTATGGACGCTCGCGCGCGCGCGTATGTGCGTGTGTTTATTTATTATATATCTTTATTATTTTGTATATTCATATATTTTATACTTTTATATAATTATTTTTCATATTTTCATGTGTATTTTTATCTCGTTACTGGTACTATTTCTATCCTTTGCCTTACTTTGTGAATTTAAATCTCCTAAAGAAGTTTATTCTTTCGCCTCGCCCTTTGCATGCTTGTTTCATCATTCTGCCACGAATGAGATTATTCAGAAACTCGGAACATAATAAAGCTATTATTACTATTATTTTCGCATGAAATTGAAGAGTGATGTACTCTATTGTCTCACTGGCACAATTTACTCTAATCGATTGTTGACATTTGCTTGTATGGATAAGAATGTGTTCTACGGTTTGGGAGAAACATTCATTCTTGTAATTTCGAGTGGCATTATGTACGGAATCTTCGTGTACACACACACGAATCACCGGCAGACATCCATCTGCTTTGCAATTACACCGTTCCGCTATTCCATTTATCACTCGACCGTGTCGGGTGGAGGCGACAAGCGCCGTATCGGGATCAAATAGGGGCATCCGGCAGTTAAGAATGGAAGTATGCAGGTCATAGGTACGAGCGAAACGCTTTTACTTAGAGATACTCGTGGTTCGATACTCGGTGGGTGGTGTGAGGAGAACGCGCGATGACTAGGGCTATAAGTGCGTCCAGTGACGGTCACTCCTCGCTCGCGATATTTCCAGCGTGTATAGTCGGATTGGAATGAGGTTTTGTGGACTTGTAGGTCACAATCCCTTTGCAAACATTTTTTATCGAGAGATCAGTCTGCTTATCTACTACAAATCTCTGGTTAGTGTTAGAATTATCTTTACTGAAGGCATAGATACAACTGGGAGTCAGATGCCGAGAACGTAAAAATAAAATTACACATCAATCGAATAATTTTATTAATAATTTTATTAATTATTTTATCATAGATTTTTTATTCAATAAAAAAGAGAAAAGCACCCCATAAGTGGGATATTGGCCATTAGTGGGTTAACGCAATGTAGACTCCCTCCGTCATGTGAAATCTAGACTGAGAGAATAAATATTTATTCGATGGGTACTAATAACACATTTGTTTATATTAATATACGCACTTTTCTCAGTGAGAAATGCATCGACGTCGATTCGATATTTATCTCTCACTGGGTTTTAAGGAAAAATTGTTCCCAAATGAGAAAATATACATCTTAAATCTGTAGCTTTTCATGAAAGCAATTGTTTATTCTATTTAAATCAAAGAATCTAAAGGGATTTAAGTATGATTATATTATTAGTATCCACACCGAATAAATAAGTTTATTCTTTAGATATTTCTCTCCCTGTAGTCCATCTTCTTTTCGTAAGAGATACGCAAGACTTTTTTATTTGTTAATTTTTTTCTATTAGTTTTGAGCATTACTATCTGTGTACACCTCTCATGTGTCTTTTTAACGTTATAGCACGCAGGTAAAGCCGCACACGGTGATCGACATGTGCGAAAATCTAGACGACGAGACGATGAACATAATAGAGAAGAAGCTGTTAGGCAAACATCCGAATACTTACACGTTGACGAAGAGTCTGGCGGAGCAAATTGTGCTGAGTAAAGGGAACGATTTGCCAATCGCGATTGTACGGCCGAGCATAGTGTGTGCCGCGTACCAGGAACCGTTTCCGGGCTGGATAGATAATGCATGCGGCATCACAGGTATAATCTCGTTGTGAATAAGCGATCTGTGTTTACATTTAAGACTCGAGCGACGTGTAGCAAGTGGCGAAGCCATGAAAGAATTAAGTCGCTCGGCTTTCCCTCGTAAGACGTGAAAGCTTGTCAAGGTAGACGCGTCCCAGTAAACAAGAAACGTTAAATCAATCTTTCGAAATTGATTTTATGTGAATCATAGTATTGAAATATTATTTTTCATGTTTGGATCAAATATTGTTAACAATTGACGTTGCATACAATTTTCCAAACACATCGACTCGACAGAAGCCAGAGAACAAAATTACGGTTGAAAAGCAATAATTTGATAAAGGGATAATATATACACAAAGGCGCCTGATTGCGTTAACTGTATCTCTAATCGACTGTTTCTCTTCTATAATCACACAATAACGACATTAATAGATGAGTAATCTTTGATCATTCGACAGGTATAATGACGGAGATGGGCAGGGGTACCGTGAGAACCATCATTTGCGATCAAGATTTGGTTGTGGATGTTGTACCTGTCGATTACGTGATCGACACACTGATCTGCGCGTGTTGGCATAACGCCACGCAACGTAGCAACACGATAAAGGTCTACAACTGCACCAGTAGCACGATGAATCCCATCAGGTATGTCGAGTATCTCGTGAGATGTCAGCGGAATTCCGCTAAACCGCTGAAGTAGCTAAATCGGGAAAATAATTCTGCTTACTAGATGGCGCGAATACGGTATACTTCTGAAGAAACACGCCATACAGAACCCGTCAAAATACGTGATGTGGTATCCGGGCTTCACGTTTAGAACAAATAAATTCCTTCACGTCATCTTGGCGGCCACATTGCACGTGTTACCCGCGTTCGTCCTTGATCTTTTAATAAAGGTCCAAGGTGGCAAACCGATGTGAGTACTTTTTCTTTCTCTCTCTCTCTCTCTCTCTTTGGTGTACACGAGCAATTTTACTGTCACAAATGCTACTTTTCTTTTTTTCTTTTCCTCTCAGAATGATGAAGATCGTCAAACGATTCGAACGCGCGGCGCAAACCGGCGAGTTCTTCGCGACGAACGAGTGGAAGTTCTACTCGAACAACATGACGGAGTTGTTGAAGTTTGTGACAGCGTCGGGAAATTGTGAGGACTTCAACTTGGATTTCCGAAATCTGGACTGGGACACGTACATGCGTCTGTACATGTTAGGTATCCGAAAGTACATCCTGAGGGACGACCTGGACACGTTGAGCAAAGCGCGAAATCGCTTGTCAAAGTAAGTCTCCAGCGAACTGACCTTCAGGTCAGTTTCACGCTCACGACGGGGAAAATAAGTGAATAATCGACTTGTTGCAGGCTGTATTGGGTACACAGATTAACCCAGATACTCAATGTGCTCGTATTGTTGTGGATGATCAGATCTGCCTTTCGGTGATATCATCGAGAATTCCTCGTAAGATCGCGGATCGCAATTCACGCGACTCGACGACTAGTGATACCGCAGAAATGTTGCGAGGACAAACGCATGATTTGTACACATTGGATGGTAATTTCACGGTGGTACTAACGCGCGCGAAAGGGACGCAGAATTTCACAGGATTTCGTCTTGAGAACCAAATGTCGTCAGAACCAAAAATCGTCACAAAATTGCGTGTGTGAAAAAAGGAGAAGGAAAGAGTAAATAAAATACTTTATTCTCTTTTTTTATATATATATTTCTCTTAACAGTCTGGATTCTATTTGCCTGTACGCTGCAACCAAAACTCCCGAGAAGGCGGGAGAAAGGTAGAAAAGTTTTCTTTAAGTGTCGCGAGAATAAATGCGCATGATAACCTCCCTAAGTGGAAATTACAAACGCGCGAGAAAGGAACATAGAATTTACGTTTCATCTGGAGAACTCGTCGTCAGACGAGCAAAATCGCACGTGTGGAAAAAGAAAAGAACGCATGTAAAAGAGGAAAAAGAATTAAACTTTTCTAAACTTTTTTATTTTATTTTAACTCCTCTTAACGCAGCCAGGGTTCTGTTTACCTGAATGAACCGGAACACCCAAGATGGCGAGAGAAAGGTGAAAAGAAAAGGAAAAATAGCAAGTTCCTTTAAATGCAGTAAAATCCGTCACGTCGTTCCTCTATATATCTTTCAGAATTTACACACTGTAGAGGCTTTTCGAGAAACAAACACGACTCTCTGTTGACGAAGTATTCTCGTTGAAGTCGAAGTGATACTGGATCGCAGCTTCTTGCTCTGCATCTCTCACGAACTACCAATACGAAAATACCAAGCGGGCCTTTCGAAACACGCGTCGGACCAATTGTATTACGCGAATATCACGTCCCTACTGACTATAATTTTAATAATACGATACGAGTGAACCGAAATTTTATCGATGCAAATTTTGTCGCTACTCAGTAAAGACTGACTCTAACGGGGTATATTCTGAAAACGTCATCAGATACGTACACACGGCGTACCTAACTCTGCGTTGCCTTACAAATAACGTCGACATCGAGGACAAGTTATTTTTGCTAGTCTACATACTCTTGCGATAATCACGACCGAGGTGGTCGGCTTTTCTACCGTAACAGGCTCACGGGCGAATGGAAGAGGGCGGTATGGATGAAACAGTTAACACTCGTCCATTTGCGAATCCGTAATAGGGAACTTAGGGATAAGACAGGGATGCTAAGAGAAAATAATGAATAGAAACGAAACAATCTTAATTCAGATAATTATTAACGTTTCTTTTTATAATCAACTTTAATTGAACTTTGATTATATATAAACAAATTGAGAGAAAGAGAGCTTTTTTTCAAAAACCTCTGACCTCATTTTGCCTTATAATTCGCGATAAGATGGGATAGCGTTGAGGATGAAATGGTTGAAGACAAACGACTAATCTATCATGAAATATAACATATTACGTGTGATTTACTCTCCTCTTTTCGTGTCGTACCACAAACACACAAAGTTATCTCGACACGGTATCGAGCAACTCGTAAAATTACATCGGATTTATTGGTTTTCATCAACTCACTCGAACTTGCGACATAGTGGCTCCTATACCGAACTAAAGAACATATTGGAACGAGTACTGCCTTTGTTTCTGGCAGATGACCTCGTGCCAAGAGAACAAGTATCCAAGTAGTATGTCCATCTTTGTCTTATCTTAGCCTATATAACATGTTAGTAAGACTACATAGCATGTTAGTAAGAACGAGATATAATTTAGATGTGGCCTTTGCCGCACAGCCTCTCTAACAGGCCTCCCTCACGCCAGTGCTCGTTCCAGTGTGTTCTTTAGTTCAATGAGCTCCTGCTACCGTTCGTCACGTGCAACTCCAAGTCTATAGTTGCGTGGTTATTTCTATATCCTTGTATCCTGACATCCTATACACGTGTTAAAGAAGTCTCATGACCTTTGTGATCTGATTTTAGACGTTGTGCTGTCTGGGATAGCGTTTCCCCGTCTTACCATGCGACCCCGTCTTGCCTCGAGTTCTCCTATAAGCGGCGTCGATAGAATTAAGAGATAAGAGATAACGAGTTCATATGGACAGCTTGTTACAGCTTGCGTTAAGTGTATCGACGGAGCAGCGTTCATCATTGATGCGACGGACTAAAGATGCGGGTGCGCAAGTATTAGGTGTATATTTGTATATTGTGAACGAAGCGCAGCCGTATACATGTGTGTATAAGTATTTCATGTATGTATATATAATATATACATACATATATATATATATATATATATTTACAGTTTAATTCCGATGTGTCGTGGGATTATTGTGTACAGACTAGTTTCGCAGACGGCGTACTTTGATTCGAGCTTTCGTGCAGAATTCCTAGTTATCTGTGATTGTTAATTCTAAAAAATTTGTCTCACACATGATAGAGATCATCATGGAAGTTACGCGATCACTACGTTATCTTTGGCAAATTATTACGTTGAATTAAACTCACGATCGAGGGAGAAAGAGAGAGAGAAAATTGTATTCACTTGTCGGAAAATTCAGATTCGGGCAAGATTGACAAGACGAGACTTTACTTCATCATCTTACAAACGTTGACAGTATTACAATTTTAGTTGAACGAGCGCAATGTCTCTCTCGGCATTCAAATCGTTTTTTTGTGCGCGTGACAATGTAAAATAAGTAATACATATCTCAATGAACTAACGGGATATACGTTAAGCGACCTCATAATTTTATACAAATCAATGCGCATAAAACTGTTGTAATACTTTTGTCATATATCAAACATGTAACTTCAAATCAAACAAGACTTGTAATTATATGAAAGGTATTTTACGTGACTTGTTCCTTTACAAATGAATCTCGTCGCTCTCCATTTCCTCTGCGCTTCTTCCGCGCGACATGTAATCAAGATATTTTTATTTCCGATACACAGAGTTCGGTAATAACTATTATATATTATTATAGTTATCCACTTAAAAGTTACGTTAAAAAGTTCACGCATTATTTCATTATATATTCATTCACAGAATTTCAAATTAACTTGATTAATTTTGAACAAATTAACTCTCAACATGAGCTAGTCGATTTAAAACACATCAATATTTTTATATACGTTAAAATAATCCGTCAATGCTAAAATCGCTGCCGCCGGATTGGCTAACGATTGGCTGACGAATTTTTCAGTGAAAACGTTTTCTATTCTATTAATTATTTTTGTTAGGAACGAGCGGAAGAGTTGCGAGATGGGAGGAGGTTCTCGCGAGCCGAACGACGGACGCGACGTTTCGCAGATGGCGCGGACACGCGAGCGGCGCGCGGCGCGTTTCCTCATCCGTCGGTCCGTGACGCGATGCTGATCGCATCCAACGTCTGTATCAATATAATGAGCACATGGAAATTGATACAGCGACGGTGTTACGATCTGCTCTCGTACAAGTACTCCCTGCTCGTGATCCTGTTGGCGTTCACTTGCATATTTATCGGCATAATACACTTCGGAGAGGTTAGAACGACGCTCCTGTGTGTGTTGCTGCATGGATTTGCTTGTTCCCTTTTCTTCTTCACGCGCGAACGATTCCCCGAATACGTTAATCCCCATCGATCTCTCGGGAGAGATGGGGGGGGGGGATCATTTCTACAATTGCATGTACAGTATAACGTTGTCGACGTTTTGCATCGACGAGTTCGATCCCCGGGCGGGTCTCAATTGCGACTCTTCCGTGCCGCAGGTGTGGTTGACATGGAGCAAGGAGAAGTACGAGGCGGTCTTCCACTCCTTCAACGACAATATCCTCGGGGTTTCCTTCCAGAGGAAACTCTGCCAGCATGTCCCGATAGACGTGGTTTACACGTGGGTAAACGGATCCGATCCGTTGTTCTTGGAGAGCCTCCGCAGACACATCCCGGTCGTGCCTCTCAGCGCTGCCGCTTCGAGATTCAATGACAAGGACGAGCTGCGCTACTCACTGAGGTCGTTGGAGATGTACGCGCCCTGGGTACGGCACGTTTACATCGTCACCAACGGCCAGATACCGAGCTGGCTCGACATGGATAATCCACGGGTGACCTTGGTCACTCACGAAGATATTTTTCTGAATAAAAGTGATTTACCAACTTTTTCTAGTCCTGCTATTGAAAGTCATATTCATAGGTGCTTGGAAATATATACAACAGATAGATATGTGTATATAGTAGTGTGTGCCGGGTCGTAACGATGTTTCCCTCTCTTCTTCCAGGATACCTGGGATATCGGACAAATTTTTGTATTTCAACGACGACGTTATGCTGGGCGCCGAGATATGGCCGGAGGATTTCGTCACTCAAGCGGGTGGGCAGAAGATGTATCTGGCTTGGTGGGTTCCTGATTGCTCCGAGGTTTGTCCGTGGGCGTGGGTGGGCGACGGGTCGTGTGACCACGCTTGCAACACCACCCTGTGCGAATTCGACGGTAAGCGATAATACAGGGTAACTTCTTCCGGATCTAAAGTCAAATAAAAATTGAAAAACCTAAAAATTCTATGTGTATGTACATAATCTAAAAGTAAGCGCAAAATCCCGGTAACTTTAAGGACGGATCTTCGTTTCTGACATGAAGATTCACGACACGACTTGATGCGCAGGTGGAGATTGTCAGACCACCGCGATCCCCTTCGACAGCGAAGCGATGGAGGAGGAAAACGACTACCCGTACAAGTATCTGCAAGACTCCCGCGAGGTCAGCAATAACGGGCTGAAGTTGTTGGACATCTTGCGCAATAAGAACAGCCGCGGTCTAACGCGGTGGGACAACACGGAGGCGTCCACGATTCCAGCATTGCTCGCGCGTAATCTCAGTACCTTCGAGTCGGACGGCCTCGAGGCTGCCGATTCGCCGAAATTACGGCTACTACGCGACGTACGACCTGACGACGGAGATGACGGTGGGCCCGCGAAGAATTCTCCCATGTATCCTAAACCGCCGCGTAGAAGCGTCTCGAGCAACAAGAGTCGCACAGTCGAGCAGTCGGCGAAGCGGAGCCATCCGAACGACGACATCGTGAACCCGGCGCGCGCCAACGGTTCCGCGAAGTTCGGCAAGTTCGCCTACCCCAATCAGTGGCGGCACAATGCCCGGGGACTCGACACCTACGCGGAGTCCTTGCTGTACGTCAACAAGATCTACAACCGAGTCTACGGACTCGAACGGAGGCGAGTGCCGGCGCACATGCCGCACCTGATCGACAAGTGGGTGGTGGCGAGCATGCAGCAGAAATTCGAGGCCGAGTTCAGGAAGACCTCTAGTCACCGTGTGAGAGACCCGGAGGACATGCAGTTCGCGTTCTCTTACTTCTACTTCCTCGCCAGCGAGAAGCGGCGGGTGTCGATCGAGGAGATATTCGACGCGTTCGACACCGACAAGTCGCAGTAAGGAAATCGTCGCGCATTTCGCGCTGGTGGGGTGAAAAAGAAAAACAAGCGACTCGTTGTTTTCAGGACCTGGTCGGACCGGGAGATCAGGACGCTCCTGTCGAGACTGTACCCCCTGCCTCTCGACTACAATCTAGTCATGGAGTTCGAGAGCGCGATCACGAACTGCTCGCGTCGCGCGAATCTGCCGGAGACCGTCCGCGTCCCGCCCGGGGAGAGATACCTGGACTCGACTCTCGTGAGTGTTGCAGACGCGATCGACACTTCTCAGCCGAGCGAAACTCTTCTGCAAACTTTCCCTCTGCTTCCTTACAGCCGGTAGTTTCTAAGGAACTGATATCGAACTGCGAGACGGTCTCTAGGAGAATGCGCTCAAGGTTCGGCGTGAGCAGCCGGTACCCGCACGAGGTAATCAAAGCCGGCAAGAACGAGATCTTCGAGATGTTGACGAGCAACGTCTCGTTGACGGTGCAGCTGCTCGATGAGATCCGACGAGATCCCAAGTACGTGTCCGCGCTTTTCTCCTTACCGTCGAACGTGTAGAGACACTCGAGCGACCCCGAAGCGGTCAGGTGTTGAAGATTGACGATTGCGGAAATTCAAATTCTGAGAAAGATTAGATATCGGAATTTTGATCGGAGATTAGAGATTATCATTCGAAGATTGGAGATTATTTCTCCGCGCACGGGGAAGCACCGAATATCAGATTAGAGATTAACATTCTAATCAGTGACTACTTTATACCCGGAAGCCTAGAACATCAAACTTAACGTATTAGATTGGAGATTAAAATTCATATTAGTGACTGGAGATTAGAATTCTAATCAAAGATTGGAAATGATCTCTGCACACTGCGGAAGCCTAAGATATCAAACTTCATTCGGATAGAAGAATTATTATTTCATGATATAATAATAAATAGCCTGTCATTTACATTAATGTTACTATTTTACTGAATAAATAGAATTAAAGGAGGTAAAATATTTTCGAATTGTTAATTTCAGCTATTCTGCACTGAGAGCCTCTCAGGCTCTTCTGTCCGTTTGTTATAAAATCATTCTATTCTGATGAAAGTCAACATATCGGAGATAAAAATTCTACTCAGAAATTAGAGATTGAAATTCCAGGAATCAACCAATTTCCACCTTGGCCCTCTCTACCCCGACCGATCAAGTTCCAATCTTCAATCTTGCGTCAATCTTCAATTCGAATAGTCAGATACGGGCTGCTTAATCGTCTTTCATTTTTTTTTTTCAGGAAGTTCATTTGCTTGAACGACGACATGGATCCCAGCCGGCGGTCCGAGAACGAGATCGTTCGCGCTCTGCTGAACGACTTCTATCGTTCCCTGTATCCGTTGCGCAGCACCTTCGAGTTGCCGGTGCAATATCGGAATCGTTTCTCCCACCGGCACGAGCTGCTCGAGTGGAAGGCGAGTCGCGCCAAGGCCCGGAACTTGCTTCTGTGCCTAGTAACTCTGCTGCTCGCTCTCACGTTCTATCACGTGCTCTCTCATCATATGCGGAGGTTGTGCAGAATTCGCGAGTTACCCACGCTCCTCGTGTGAGGGATCTTCGACATGATATAAGGAATGAATCACAAATATTAGTCAAATATTACGGTTAAACGTTTCTCAATCGGACAGGATCAGGAGGCGGAAGGGGGCTCTTTATCCGGTAAGAACTTCCAGTGAGTCGTTTTCTAAAATTAGATAAGATGATATTACCTCTGTGATACTGCGGGCGAACAGTTTTTGTAATTACATTTTAATAAAGAGTTCGATTCTAAGCGGAAACGTCGAGGCCGCGCGCGCGGCAAGCGAGAGCTATTGCGTGCGTGTCTCCGCAGATCATGCGTGCGACCGCTTTCCACGTCGCGGTTGCGGTTCTACGTGTGTCCGCGCGACACTTGTCATCACGAATCCGATCGCCGGTGCAGAGGTGGACACTCCGTGTGCCGGATATTTCGCGGACCCACCATACCCTCCTGAAGCAGCGCGCACTCGGTCATCCACGCCGCTACGCTCGCGACTTCTTCGGCTGACAGGCGCGCTCCTATACCTGCGGTTTGAATTTCAGGCTCAAGCGGCTCCCCGCGGATCGTCAGATCGTGACAGACAGACAGTCACGGGTACAATCGTGGACGGAAAGGTTGCGACGCTTTTTTTTTTCCGGATAAGTTCCGGAACGCATCTCGCGTCCAACAGGAAAATTGGTTTCTCAGGTATTCTCAGGAGATACATTTTCCTACTGGTTATGAGATATTCGTTGTGAAACTCGTCGGGAAAAGTCCTGTTTCCGTCCACGATGAAAAAGTTCGATTCCCGAGTCTACCGCGATGCTGACTTTGAAGTAATTTCGATTAGTTTTACAAGTTTACAATTGCGTGAGCGTCGGAAACTTTCAGACTGAAAGTCTGAAATATGCCAAATCTATAATTTTAAGACTCCTGTTTCCTCGTCGCAGCCGTCTCGTCTGATGACGTGAGGAGCGAAGGAACGAAAATGCCGGGGATTTTTGCGGAATACGTTGTAATAAAAGAATATGTCCATAAGATGGTATTTTTGTAATCGACCGAGCACGTTTGTGAAATACTTCGGGAACTTTCCTTTTACTTTAACAAGCTAATCAACAAGCAGTCGTAAAATTAACGTGACGGAATCATAAGAAAAGATATAAGCTAGGAACGAAGGTTGCATGTCATGTTAAAATTATTCGCTGACTTTTAGAGCAAAAGAAAGAAGAAAACTGCAATGAAAAGTTATTCATCAATCAAGTAATCGTCCTTGTCTACGATTCTTCGCTAGTTTTTTGGCAACGTTCATTAGATCCCGTATTAGAAGACGACAGGTCTGCCGCCAGAAGAGGAACAGAAAACCCAATCGAACTTCTCGACCAACTCAATATTACAAGTCAGCAATTGATGGATTTTTCTCAGCGTAGGCTTCACGGGGAAGACTCGATGGTGCGATCGCTTACCTGGCACATTCAGGCGACCAGCAGTCCTCTTGTCCTTCTCCGCTCCGGAGACGACGCTCCCGTCGCTGTTGCTCACGTCCTTCGTGCCGCAGAATCTCTCGCCGATTGCAGTATCCTTGGCCACGCGATCTCCGCCGATCAGGGCGTCCAGTTTTTCCTCCCTTTCCAACGAACTGCTCTCCACCGGTTCCGTCGACGGATCGGCTGCGGAAGGAACGAATGCATGAAACAAACTCGGAGGCAGAGAACACTGGAACAGAACGGATAACGTACTCTTGGAGTACGAGTTAACCTCGTCCTTGGACATCGACTCCAGATCCAGATTGACGTCCGCATCGGTATCATCCTGGCTGTTCATGGAGGAAGTGTGACGGGTGGAAGTGTCCTTACACGTGCTCGACTCCTCGTCGCCGGAACTCTTCTCGTTGCCGTCGCACGCGAGTCCCGCCAGGTACCTGTGGATGACGACAGAGACGTTCAACCGGAAAAAGAACCGGAAGAGCACATGTCAACGTCGCTGCCCCGGCAACTTGCTAACTCACTCCTGCGACCTTTCCTTAAGGTCCTTAATTCCTTAAGGTCAACGCCCTATTTTTAACTTCTATTTTTAATTTCTTCTAAACCACATTTTGGATTTTAATGTGGAATCCCTGTGATATTAAGAACTAATATAAAGACATTACATATGAGAATTTCAGAATTATTGGCCACTTTGTTTTGAAAATATAACTATAGGAAATTTGCAGAATTTATAGTAACAGTTGGGATATATTATTGACTCATTCAACATTTACATTTTAAGCTACAGTTTTTCTTGAACATTTAAAACCGTTCCGTATTTGCATCCTTTTCCCTAAATAATAAACTTATTTAGGGGCCCTTTAAGATCGTCATTTCCTGCAAAATCCTGCATTCCACGATACAATTGCCTTGAAGACATCTTTGAAACGTTTTAAGGTATTACCCGGCATCTTAACGTCCTCTGGATACTTACTCATATATCTCCATGAACAAATTGAGCGGGATCATCGCGGAGCCGCCGTCCGGCTCGTGGCTGAATAACTGGCAGACCATGATCATCGTCTCGGTGAGGTTGCCGCCGAGCAGGCCCACCGCGATAGCCAAGAATCTCTTCACTTGGCAGCTACGACGAAACTTGCCGATCGTCGTGATTGTCTGGAAGTCCCGACGATCCAGACAAAGGCAGTCCCAACGACGCGCGATCGCCTCCACGGGTAAAGTCTTGTTGTAATCTGCAACGGCAAATCGCGAGAATGAGCGCCCGATAATACAACGAAAGCGCGAGTTCGCTTCGGACGATCTATAATTCACGACAAAATTTAAAACAAAATTCTACTTTCAATGTGAGAAAACACATTAAAAAAGTAAAAAGAATTGGATATAAATGAGAAATCTGATAAAATAACACAAAATAAATTAACATAAATCCAAAAGAGAGAATTTTCCTTTTTTTTTCGCTTGTGTCTCTTGTTGCTTTTTTATTTCTTTTTTAGTTATATTTGTTGTATTTAGTTGTAATTATTAATATAATTTCGGAGGTTCGGGAAAAACCGAGTTTTTCCACTTTCCCGCTGACTTTTCCCGACTTCTTCCCCGAAGGTAGAAAAATTCGTTCGCGGAAAATTTGAATTTTTCCACCTTGGAAGAAGAGACCGAAAAGGTCAGTATTTTTAAACTATAATTTATAACATGTTTACGATATACTTGTAATTGATAATACAAATTGTAATTAGTAATATAAATGCTCTAATTGCGAATTCAAAGGGATGCACAAGCGGGAAAATCTACTTGCGAATTATAGACCGTCTGAAAAGCGGACTTTCCCCTTCTTCTCATTCTTCCTCTTCGTTCACAGTCGACAGGAACGTCCGTCCCGGAGCGAAGTCGTACTTCCAAATTGCCGCAGCAGCACCCTGAGGAAGCCCAGAGTCAAGCCGGAGGCGGTGCTCGGCGGCGGGTATTCCAGTCGCGATTTAGTCGGTGGTTCCTCACCGTTCGCCAAGGCGCGGAAGTACGAGCTCGACCACTTGAGCAGATCGTAAGGCTGCGTCCGGATGGCGGCCTTGCAGAACTGCTTCAGGATCATCGGCAGCTTGGCCGGTACCGCGATATCCTTGCCGGACAGCGGTAGTTGCTCGATATTGTGGGACATGTTCACGGCAACGTTGTTCGCGTGGCGAATCCTCCGCTCATTGTTGTGCCTCCGCGCGGCGCTCCGGTTACCCGGGAAACCGACGACGATGGGATTCGTCGCGCGAGTGCACGAGCTGTGCAAAGTAGCAGCAAGTGTCTGTTGTTCGGCACGTAGGGGATATTGTCGCACTCGAATTCCAAGAAGTGTGCGTTTTATGTTCGAACGGATTTTTCTTTCTCACTCGTAGTTGCCGACGAAGGTCCGCTCGAGCGAACGCGTTGTTGTCGAGAAACAAAGACCCGTTTGATCCTCCCTTGAGCCGTGTTAGTTCAAATGTTAATTGAAATATATAAGAAGGTATGAAAATGTAATGAAATATATAGGAAATGTTACGTATGTAAAAGCAATGACCCGTCTTTAACACGTCGTTCTCTCGATCACGAGGAATAAGCGGAACTCACGGGCTGCAATTTGCGCAAAAGTAGGGATAATGAGACAGTTCGGCAAGCATCTTGAGGTCTCCAGTTCTCAGAACACACACTTTCGAACATGATTCATTTATTTTTCACGGTACTACATAAATGTAAATCGAAATCCGTTAAGTTGTACATTTTTTCATGATTATTACGATTATTTTCTGTCGAGTTGCATCGCGTAAGTAAATAAACGCGTACAAATGACATTCGTTCAAAAGTGCGAAATTTCCTTTAATTTGTGTATATTAGTGATAAGAATAGATATTAAATATTAGGAATAGGAATAAGGAATTATTTTCACACAACGGGATGTAATGAACGGCTGTATACAACACGATTCCTATATTTATATCTTTCCTATATTTCATTCTTTCTCTTGATTCCTACTCCTAATATTTAACATTTATTCTTACTCCAAATATATATTTCAACTGTGCGCAGGGCCTAAACACGAATGATAGATCTTCACTTCTGGCAAGCGAATGCATACGAACACAGCCTTTAAGCGCTCGGCTAGAAACATTTCGGATCTCTGATGCGTGACGTTACAAGATTAGTTCTAACGTCTTCGCTACGTGGCGACACTTGTCTCGACGAGGAATCCGAGCACGTAGTAGTACGACTCAATGATAGGTTAAACGAACTCTATTATTTTTCAGTGGTGCTACACCGTCCGACCAAGTTTACGAAAAGTGACTTGACTTCATGTTAACAAACAGTACGTCACACCTACATGCACGTGCGAGTTTCACGAAGTGCTTCGGACAATTTTCAAGCCTCGGTCGCCGCAAACCGCAAGGTCGGACCGGCGGGACGTATTTGCAAGTGTATGCAGTACGCAGACTATACTTTTTTACCCAACGTTCGATCGAGTAGGTGGCAGCGGCAGCGTGTGTCCATTTATTCATACGTAAAAAATGGCGGATTGCAAGGGTGCGTTTTTGTGCTTCTCTAAATTTAATTACACGCCTATACTGTGCATATGTTGATGTCGCGAGATAACGCCAAAAAAAATACCGTAGATTCCCCGTAAATGTAGCCCGGTCCGAGTTACAATGTAACAGTTTCTTTGCGAGATTTGCACGTTCACAAACGTGCCCGCAGACTGACGAAGGCTGCCTGCGATAACAATTTTAATCGTTTGTTTATGTTGTATTTAGAGGATACGGAGCAACCAGGCCATTCGTCGCTTATCCTGAAGGTCGACCCGCCCGAGGACCCTTCGAAAAGCTCCCCTGAAAATTCGGGGCACAGTAATTCAACCACGTCGACCACCGACCGAGGTACGAGAACTCCTGTCGTTACTGTGAATTATTAATATCTTACGTTGCTTGAAAGTTGCACCGCTCAAAACAACAAAGAGATCACGCCGGGTAGTTACTCAATGTATGATAGTCGTTTGAGCTAGATGTAAAATTAATTGGTTGAAATATAATGTTACTTCATATGTATGTTTACTTAATAATTAAGATTAGGTGCTAAGAGACATGCGAGACTCTCCGAGCTACCTACCGAATGATATAAGCATTTTTGAAGAAGTGATCTCTTGTTTGTTTTAATTTCTTCAGAGATGAATTTATTCGAGTTGGGAGAAACTGATTAAATTTTAAAGCGACGGATATAACATCTATCAGTCAGGTAACAGAATGTTTCTCTTTCTTGTGGGCTCTTGTCGTGAATATTTGTTCTTAATGACATGCATTATGTCTTGTCAACAATATTTGAGTTAAAAGAGGAAAATTGAACTCTAAATGTATGCGTATATGTCAGTATCGTCGAAAAGGTTCAGAGGTATAGGAATATCAAGTTTATTTCTCTTATGTATAATATATAAATAACATCAGTCTTTTTGGCATTATGGATGGGATATGTTTAATTACTTATCAATATATTTTGCAGATAAGGTAGAAGATCAAATGGCCAAGGAGCCAAGTGATCAAGAATCGACGATTGTAGCTGTTAACTCTTCTAATAAAATAAATTGTAAGTTTACGCAGGCAGATTGTACACGAGACTTAAAGTACAAGATGTATCAAGCAATACAAGGTACACCGCGTCTCAATTCACACGTATGCTTACAGGTGTGCTAGCTGCTTCGAAATTTGGTAATTCGTTCGGTGCGAATGAATCCTCAAATACCTTAACTAGTAAATCAAAGTCATCTATATTAAGGCCGTCGCAATTAAGCTCAGTTACCAATAGTTCTTTAGTTGCTAACGACAAGACCGTTCTGCAACCATCGAAATTTAACAATCCGTTCACAAAAGTCACCGACAATTCTATGGAAGAGGAGGATAACACGTCCGCGACGCCGAGCAATAAAGCTGAGACTAGCAAGGATGTCAAGGAGGAGGAGAAGCCCGCGGAAGAGGCGAAGCCGAAATTCCTGCCTCTGGATATAAGCACGAAGGAGAACGAGAACAATGTAAATAGCACTATGGCACCTAGTGCCTCCACTCCTAGCTTTGTGTTCGGTCAGAATTTGAAGGAACGTGTCACCGTTTCTACCGATACGGAGAGTTCGGACAATTCGGAGAAGGAAGAAGCGAAAAGTGACATGAAAGAGGAGGCCAACGAGAACGGATCGTCCGAACTTCTGTTCTCGAACGCAGCTGCGGTCTGCCGTGCCACTGTCAGGCCAGGTTTAACGTTAACCCAGGCGGCGCAAGCGCTGGAAGAGGCTAATCGCGCCAACAAGAGAAAGTATAATCAAGTGACACTGCTGACCGGCGAGGAAGGGGAAACGAACGTCCTTCAGATCAATTGCAAGCTATTTGCGTTTGATAAGGTATGTCTATTAATATGTGTTATTCATGAACTATTAAAAGATCACTGGAATTATTAATAGATTCTAGATCGTTAAAATGAAGAAATAGAGAAAGTATAAAAGTTACATATTTATAAATTTTTAGTTTTACATTTATAATAATAATATATATGTATGTATATTAATCAATTTTTAATACATAATGTAGGTTATTAACACGCAAAATATCGTGGCGATCGCTTATATTACTCGTTAAGTTACGCGTAGAGTATAATTAGCTGCACTTGAGAAATCTGTCGTACTGTCAATAGAGAATCAATGAAACGCGAAGTGAAAATGATACATTTACCAAATTATGTTAATTATTTCTTTAGAGTAATTATCAGTTAAGAAAATGAACGTGGCAAATAAGTGTTAATACATCATTTACATTGGAGTAGCGGATAACTCGAAATTTACGTTTCGAGCAACGAATAATCCGAAATAATCCTTCTTTACACTCTTTTGAGTAGCGGATAATTCGAAATTTACATTTCGAGTAGGTGGATATTTCGAAGATATGTGACACGCCAAAAGTCGGTGGAATGATGCAATTATCATTTAATCCGGTCTTCGGTATTGCAGACTACCTGCAGTTGGCTGGAGAGAGGTAGGGGCACGTTGAGACTGAACGATCTCGAGGAAGAGTCCCGTTTGGTCGGCCGTACCGCCGGCACACAGCGGGTGATCCTGAACACGAAAGTATGGCCGGGTATGACCGCGGAGCGGGCCGGGCCCAAGTCCTTGAGGCTGACCGCGATGGAGATGGGCGACGTGCGAATCGTAATCGTTCAGGCGGCGCCCAAAGAAATCGATCAGCTGCACATCCTCCTGCTGCAACGGCTGAAGCGCGCCCAGGAGCGTCCGACGACGAAGAGGCTGGCGACGGAACACTGACAACCGATCGGCAACTTTGGCGGACGGGCGTTGACCGCTTGTCAACTTAATTCATGCAACATAGAGGTCACTAACACGTGAGAAGAGCTAAATATCCTTCGGAGTATAAGGCCCTATTCTCTAGTACGTGCGCAATAGAATGGCTATGATTTGTGCCTTCCTTCAGAAGTCGCAGTCCCACCCGCTCCACTTCTTCCCCTCCCCCGGCAGTTCGATCATCAGTATTCATGGAGGAGCCTGATAAGGAAGACTAAGTCGTCGCGGCACTCGTACCAAGTTGGATTCTTATATATTCATCCCTTTTTTTTCTTCTCTTTATATATATATAGATATATGTATGCATATATGTGTATGTTGTTTTTGGTCTCTCTCTCACTCTCTCTCTCCCC